GTAAACAAATAAACAAAAAACTGTGACCATTTTGTTATAAGAAACAACATAGAATTCAAGCCTAAAAGGACTAGAGTAAGTGGAGAAAGGTCACCACTTTATACTGAGTCAAGGTATAATCCCAAAGAAGATATTATAATCATGAAACTTTGTGGAGCAAATGTCAGATCACTGAAATATACAAGGAAGTGATTACCAAAAACAAGTCCTTGAAAAAATACAATTTTAATGGGAGAGTTTAACAGACCATTCTGAAATAGAAAAAAAAAATGAAATAGCTGACTTAAATAATATAATTACTAAAGATGTTCTATAAATTAGATTAAGTGTTGTACTCTGAGACCACAAGTTAGAACAAACATTATTTCCTAGTCAGTAAAAGAATTGACAGTGTTAATATTAGTTAGCTAATATGTGTTTAGTTCCACTTCAGGCCCGCCATTATGCCAAGAGCATGTATCATCCCATTTAATCCTTGTAGCAATACAATGTGATAGACATTCCTGGACAGATTTAAGGATGCAGGAGCTGAAACTTAAAGAACATATCTAATTTGTGCCCCTAAAATTATAATTGTAGTTGGAGAAACAGAATTCTAACTCCAGTGTATGTGACTTCAGAGCTGTTCTCTTAATGACATTAATATACTCTATCCCAGAACATTTCACTCCAATTAGAAACAGCTGATCAGGGCACATTCTCTGAGCACAGTGCAATAAAATTAGAAATTAAACTTCAAGTAAAAATAGTTTTCAAAGTACTCTTAATTATTCTGTGTTCAGGTCAAAAAAGAAAGCCAAAACAAGCTAATGACACAGAGAACACTACATTAAAATAATATATGAGAAGCCCTTGATATATTTATAGCCTTAAGTTATTTTATTCTTAAAAGCATGATAACAAAGATAAATGAATTATGTACTTAATTCCAGAATTTAGGACAAGGAAAAAAAGTAGGAGGGTAGTGCAAGAAACATGCTTAAGGACAGAAATTAACTAATTAGAAAATAGTATTTTGAAAAGAGAGAGAGAATTGATACAAATACAAGTGCAGTACATCCACACACACACATACACACATACACTGAAAGAAAATTTTCATGAAACAAAATTTAAAGTTACTGTGTGAAACACTTTGATATTTCCAATCTCTTTAACAGCTTTGTTGAGGTATGATTGATAAATAACAAACTATACATATTTAAAGTATACAATTTAATATGTTTTGAATCATGTACACACTCATGGAGACATAAGCACAATCAAGATAATGAAAATATCAAATATTCTTAAACGTTTTCTCACATCCCTTTGTTATCCCCTCCTCTCTGCTGTCTCCCTTACCTTTTCCACAGAAAACCACTGATAGCTTTCTGTCACTATCGATTAGTTTTCACATTCTAGATTTTTATAAATATGGAATCATAAAGTATGCACTTTTTGACCTGGCTACTTTCACTAGTTATGTCATTATTCTGAGATTTATCTATGTTGTTGTATGTGTCAATATTCATTCTTCTTCTTGTTGAGTAATAGTCCATTGTATGGATATACCACCATTTGTTTATCCATTAATATGCCAGTATGGATTGTGTTGTTTCCAGTTTGAGTCTATTACAAACAAACATTATTCTATTCGGTTTCTTATTTTTTAATCTGGTCATGGTCCTCTTAATCTTATTGTACAACTATTAATGGGCCATTTGCCACTGATTGAAAAACAGTGCCTTAACATGGACTGTATATCAAGAAGAGACAAGAATGATAAGAAGGTTCTTCCTGCTACAACAGAGTCCCTCATTCCATATAGGTCTACCTCTCTTCAATCCCAGCAGATGACCAAGGGTAATAGTTCACTTTTAACTCTCCTGCTAGTTAACTGTGAATTCTTAAGTGGGCATTTATGGAAATCAACAAAGAACAAGAATGGAACTTAGAAAGATACGGTTGGGGAGAATGACCAGGAACAGGAGTGGGAAAAGAGATTATAGAAGAAGAGAAATGAGGATGAAGGCAATTGACAGGACACCAAGGGCAAATTCACCTATGTGTCAACTTCACCTAAATCAACTCCCTGACCTTTTCGCATATGAAAGTCTTACATCTTTTCCTAGGTTTCTTAGTCTTTGTCAGTTAATCTACTTTTGGTTTCTTAGCATAGATTTCTTTCAAATAGCAATGTTTCATTTTTATTCCAATGTTCAAAAAATACCTACTCACGGTAAAAAAATAATCAGTACAAAATGAAGTTGTGGTGGTTGAGATTTGGTTCAACCACCTATGACAGATATCTCACAATAGCAATGGTTTAAACAACTTAGAGTTTTATTTTTCTTTCGTATGAAAATATTGGAGTAGGCAGTCCAGAGCTGGTACAGTGGCTGCCTGGTATCAGGGAACCCTGTCCCTAATGCTTTACTCCTTTCTATCCTTAGCCTGTGAACTTTTGTTCACAGAGGCAATCAGTATCTTGGTTATCTTTCTTTCCATGTGCAAACATTTAAAGATCTACTGTACATGTGTGCTCACACGCAAATACACACACACACACAATATAGTATAGTCATATACTCTACACACTAATCAGCACTTCACTCTTTTACTCAGTATTCCAGATGAGTATAGATTAATTTGTCTCATTTTTTAAACAGAAGTACAGTCAGTTACAATGTGTCAGTTTCTGGTATACAGCACAATGTCCCAGTCATGTGTATACATATATATATATATACATATATATATATATATATATATATACACACATATATTCATTTTCATGTTCTTTTTCATGAAAGGTTATTATAAGATATTGAATACAGTTCCCTATGCTATACAGAAGAAATTTTTTTTAAATCTATTTTTATATATAGTAGCTAACATTTGCACATCTCAAACTCCCAAATTTATCCCTTCCCACCCTTTTCCCCTGGTAACTGTAAGATTGTTTACTATGTCTGAGAGTTTGTTTCTGTTTTGTAGATGAGTTCATTACTGTCCACTTTTTTTCTTTTTTCTTTTTAGATTCCACATATGAGTGATATCATATGATATTTTTCTTTCTCTTTCTGGTTTACTTCGCTTGGAATGACAATCTCTAGGTCCATCCATGTTGCTGCAAATGACATTGTTTTGTTCTTTTTTATGG